CGACGAGTTGACCCCTTTGACTTAGGGTTTTCCTTTCCTTTCTTGGCCGTTCTGATTCTGGGTGTTACATGTTATTTTTTTCATTATCCCTTTGTAAAATAATCATAAAATTACAAAGATTTTGCAACTGTAAGTTGATAAAATAATCATAAATAAAGTAATATAATTGCTTCTATAAACTAACTCACAACAACTATGAAAGTGGACATTAAAGTGATATCACAGAATAAGTGTTGCCAAGTAAGAATAGATCAATAACACTGCACCTTTATGCACATTCTTGTAGATTTCCCTGTAAATTTTGAAATCAGGGAGAAATTAGTGATGTAGATCTATTTGGATAATACAATTATCGTCCAGGGAGACTTGGGTGACAGAAGCAAGAATGGGATCTGCCAACTTGACCATTCTTAAGTTTAATGGACATATTTTGAGCTATTCAGAAAACCCAAAAAGGTTAAATGACAGTTGGTTACAATTTAGAAACTATACACATGTATCATTTGGTCCACATTGTTATTATTATCACATTAGACTTCTACATCAAGCAAAAAGAACGATCAAGTGAAAGAAGAAATACTATTTTTAGGATTACATGCATTCTAGAAGTCAAGTCGACCAACATCTAAGCCAAATCTACTTCTTATTTGGCCAAAAGCAACTGAAATCCCTTGGCCTCTAATGCAACCTGAAAATGTACTTTAAACAATTATACATTTTAATCGTGACATAGCAACTCCAATCACACCAGGTTGGATCCACGGATGGCATCAATTTCATATTTTCATGATTCTTTATAATATTTTTGTGTTCAGTCCTGTAAGTAGGCGGTGACCTGCCGTTACAGAAGGCAAACTGTAGACTTCATGAATGAAACATATAACATTCTATCAGAATAAGTTTAAGCCAAATAGAAAGTGAACCATTACAAAAATAGATATAAAAGTTAAAAATTAGAAGCATGACTATTAAGAGAAAAAAAAAGACAAACCTGGTGAATTCGAAAGGTAAATTGAACCTAGTTGGGTCGATTCCCCTGATTTCTCCACCAAATAATTACAAAGATCTTGGGTACTATGGGTGAGGATCAGAGAAGGTAAGATCATAAACAAAATGAAATAAAAAGATTGATAAAAATTTTAAAACTATACCTTGCATTAAAACCGAGAAACACATAAATATTTGCACAAGATTCACCGCCAAATACGCACTTTCATTGCCAGCGGCCTGCAGGACAACGTCTTCATGGGTTATAACTTTCTGAATTTTAACTCCATGTATTCAAGATGCACTTATGCAAAACCCTAACAAAATCGATAAATGAAATTTTGAAAAACCCTAACAAAATCGACTGATTATTTAAGAAATTTCATGTAAAAATCACAGCAAGCGCTTTTTCATTGCATTTTATTCATATATGACTGTTGTCTAGACTTTTACCCATGCTTTTTCCTCTCCCATGCCTTCAGGGAGAGTGTGTAAATAACCTGGGTGGTGAGGGGGCTGTGCAACGAAGATAAGATTGATTTTGATTCCTTGATTCCCTTTTTTATTTCCATCCAAATTAATCGGTAGCTATGAGTTCAATCATGACTGCGTTGTGACGAAAATCTAGGGTTCTTAGAAATTGGTGGTGGTCGTCGTAAGGGCTAGAGTTTCTGATGCCGGTGATTAATACATATGGTTGTGGAAACATTGTTTTAGCGTTTTCTTGTCGGTGGGTGGAGGTGGTGGTTTTGACGATGTGTGCTTCTGTGCGAGATTCGGGGTTGTACGTTTTGGTGACGGCTGTAACAGATGTAGAGGTTTCAAGTATGTTGCTTCTTGTGATCACATCGAGTTTGGGAGTGAAGAACCAAATGAAATCCTAAGCCAATATAGAAAATCGAAAAGTGCAAGAACTCAAAACCTTATTCTAGAAAACATAAATCGATTTAGGGTTCTTAGATGCTACTACCGGACAGGGGAGCGTTATCGTTGGTTCAACAACCAGCGCCACACACCACCACCTCCAAAACCTTCTGCAAAAAAATTAAACCAAATCATCAAAAGAAGAAGATGACGAAGACAAAAGAATGACTGGGAGATATCAAACCACACCAAAGAAAAAAAATAGATTGGATGTAAATGGTGGTCTCTGTAGAGATTATGAATGAATCACAATAAAAAGAAAAATCGATGGAAAATGAAAATCAAAAGAAAAATCGTTAAAAAAATTAACATCTTGGTTTTACTTCCTTACCAGGCTTCAATCGATCCGGGTTGTTGTTCTTTTCCATGCACCAAATTAGAGTTTCACTTGATTCCTTCGTAGAGGCGTGTGTTTATCAGTAAACAATAAAAATAAAAAGGTGAATGATCTGATTGATGGTGGTGATTGGTTTCTAACCGAATAATGAGAGAGGAGACATTATATAAATATATAAGTGAAGATGGTGTTTACCGATTCATTTGGCTTAAAGCTAGGAATACCAATACCAATTTAAATCCTCTATTTGAATGTTTCAATATTAATTTTATACTTGTACTTTATGCATTGTATTTTGTAATTTGTTGATGGTTTGTTGTATTATTAGCTTAAACACTTGGACGTC